TAACGAGAAATGCAAAGTGGGAAATTGCCGTCTTGACTAGGTTGGCTCGCACGGCTCCATCTTCCAGCTGGAGCACGCACGGACGTATATGCACGACGAAAGCAGTGCCAGATCTGCTGCTTTTCTGTTTGCTTCAGTCATCCGCGTGTGACACGTTGATCTTCCCGCATGGGTTCACTTTGTTTTAGAGCGCAGCTCTTAGGCGCCCGTTTCCGGCTTGAGCGGCGTCGGCGTAAACATGAGGTCACGTGACCCCCGTGAGGTCACGAGGGTCACGTGACCTTACGGTTACGCCGACGGCGACACCGCTCGGAGGGAGGAGTAGCAGGCAGGGTGAGAAGGCGAGGAGGAGGGAGGAGGGGTATGACAACACCCCCTAGAGCTGAAGGCCGCAGCGCTCCCCCGGTGACGTCACACGAGTCGGCTGGCGAGCGCCGCGGAAAAGTGCTGCACTGAAGGCGTCGCGCATAGATTTACCGACGTCGATGGCATTTTTTATTGACCTAAACGTTTGTTAATTGGTCAAACAGGATTTATAAATATCTAAATGACTGGGAAAAATAATTTGTTACACGGGCAGCATATTAGGACGTACCATATTGTTGTTATGATATGAAAGAACACGGTTAACGACGTTTTGAGAGGGATGGGTTTTCGCTTTAGGCATCCAAATCTTGGGTGCTTTAATTATTTCTCGGAGTGAGAAGACACAAACAATCAAAAAATAAATGCCCTGAGAGTTCATTGTAAGTGATGGGACCCGCCAAAATGCATAACAGCAACAATCAAGTTGGTGATGACATGTGTGGTTAATGAATTCGTATGTGAAGCCAATGAAAAGATTATTAAAAAAAGTGTGGACTTTTCGAGCACGAAAAAAATGCAAAGAGTTGAAATGTACTTTTTACCAGAAGTAAACATATGATAACAAAAAAAAAAAACTGCAAGCGAACTGGGGAACTAGATAACAGAAAGTATAAAACAGAGAGAGGACGAAACACCCAGACGAGTACATTCTTTCAACTCACAACAAAGTTTATTCCATGGAGTGCGAACGCACGTTCCTCTGCGCAGAGTTAGGGAAAGGGGGAAAGGGCGGAGGCTGGGGGGGGGAAGTAACAGGAAGGAAGGGCGGTTGGGAGAGGCGGCTGGGTGCGTGGACCCGTTGGGGTCGAGCCGCTTTATGTTTTATACTGTTTTATACTTTCTGTTATCTAGTACATCTTACCAACACGCTCGTTAGGACTAGAACTGGGGAATGTTCATCATAAAGTAAGTAATCCGAGACTCAGGCACGAAGGCGAAAAATTAAACGCAGAAAAGACACAAAACAGGGGGAAAGACGCCGCCTAAGTCGAAGTGCACAAGTTTTGATTTAACCGAGTGCAGGCAAACTTAGCAAACTTAAAGCATGACTTTCAGTAAGGGACAGATGCAGCTGTGGGAGCTTAATGCACACATCTACCCGCGTTCATTCACACTACGAATAGATGCTGTGAATATAAGTTCTCTCACCTTTGAAATCTTCAAATTGGATATCCTCGTGTATCCATACTTTCTTCTTGTATCCATCTTGACACAATTCAGATACAAGCAACTTAGATGCTGCTCTGTAGCTTTCGAGACACCTAGACACAGCACATGTACGGCATGTAGACTTTAATGCCGCTTCGCAAAAATAATGCTATGACAACTGTTGCAATGAACATAAAATAATTATTTAGATTTTAGGATTTCACATTTTCTTTTCTTTGACTTGGAATTAGCTAGCCTCATAACCTTTTCGTTCACCCTTCCACAATAGTTTTTTAGCGCAATGTTCGTGCTGCACCAGAACAAGTCCTTCAGCACGAGCTCACTTGTGTGTCTTTCTTCACATGCGTCGAAGTCAGAAGTCTCGTTGGTAGACAGCAGCTCCATTGTAAGGTCGGTGACGAACTGACGCTGGATCGGAATTTTCAGAAAATTGGCCTGCTTGGAGAGTTCTTGAGCAAAAACGCAACCGTGTAGCGCGGCATTAAGGGCGAACATATTTGGATTAAAGAGCCCCCTCGATCCAATTTCTTGAAAAGAGAGTAGTTCTCCTGCGCAGGTAAAACCTGTTGCCGTCTTATATTCTTCAGTAAGCGCTGCCCTGCATTTATGACATTTCGGCTTTTTCAAGGCGGCATAAACTGCGTACCCTGCCACGAAGACTAAAACTGGGAGGGTCTAATTTATCGCTTGTGACACAACCTCTTCTGTAACTATACTATGTTTCAGCTTGGCCGTGGCGTGTCTACTTGTTTTTCAAGCTCCTCCCATTGTTTGCCTTCACATGGGATTGTCGGCAACGTACTCTTCAGTCTCAGCTTATTTTCACCTTCATAAAGCTGCCTTATAGATATGTGATATTGCGAGCCAGCCAGCTAGCTGCCTGTACTTCCCGAAACAGTCTTGCAAGCTATCAGTCTGAATCCTTTTCAGGAGGACATATTTCAACCCAAGTTCAGTAAAGCAGTATTCGGCGATCTCTACAAATGCACGGATTGTTTGACGGAGTGCTCCGTGCGTCTCCTTGGTTAGCGTGCCACTGGTAAGGTTCTCGCTCTCCCATACGTCACGCCAGGCGTCCAGCCAGTCAAAAAGACTGCACAACATTGGAATCGTCCTCTGCAGAAGTCACTGGTTCTTGAAAGTCGTCTCTGAGTCACGTTCCTTTGTTCGGCGTCCATGTTAAAATTTCCTTCAGATTTCGAGACCTCGACGATTTCATTGATTCCTTTAATAATATGCGCCACAGATGTAGGAACAAGAGGGGGACATAGAGAGAAGGCTACAGGCTCCTGACCGTGGTTTTGAAAACGGGAGCTTGCGCTACAAAGATACGTTTCTAGAATTAAAAGCGAGAGCTAGCTTGTGCTTGTCGCCTTCGCTGCCACGTCAGTGTAAAATTCAACAAAATAAATGCAATAATTAAAAAAAATATGTGAAAAGATATGAGAGTTCTCACCCTGCCATGCGTTGATAGAACCAGGTTTTTTGCGAGGAATTGCCCGCACCTATACTTTTCGTAGTTCTTCATCCTCCGGGAGCTAAACACAGCACAGACACTTTCTTCGACGACGTTTCATAGTTCCCATGGCACCCAGGGACACAGCATTTATGAAGCATGGCTAGCGCGAAAGCCGCCCGTAACTTCACAACCACCACGCGTTAACCGCCAAGCACGCCAAACGCAAAAGACAAAAGAGACGGTTAGAGCAGTTCGTGTACTCACGCGTTACCCGCCAAGCACACCAAACGCAAAATAGAGCAGTTCGTGTACTCCCGCCACGAGGCTTGTGCAAGCCGACGTGCGCAAAGGAGGCAAAAATTGTCACTGCGCAACTGCCCCGGGAGAACCCTGGCGTTCTGGGCTTGGAGAAAGCTAAAATAAAAACAAAAAAAGGCCAGAGTATGCGCCGCTTGGCGTCCTCGGGAAAACACGTATAAGAAAAAGAAAAAGAAAGCGTGTGTTGCGGAGAAGCTTTCCTCTCAGGTCGGCCCACTCGTCGTGAATCTGTGACGTCACAACTCCGAGCGCTGCGGCCTTTGCTCTAGGTAGTGTTGGGTATACGCTCCCCTCAGAACCCTTCCCTCCTCCTCCTCAAGAGCTGGGCTCTAATTCGGTGTTGCAGGGAGTTGTAAGCAGCTTTCGTTTTTTCCTTATATCCCCTTTTCTTCCTTTCTCCTTACCGAGAAATTTGCCCCCACCCTTCTTAATCGGAGCGGAGTACGAAAAAGAGCACGTGTAACACTATCTGTAAAAATTATGCCGAAATCGCTGCTCCGCTGTCGCTACAATGATTCTCGACGAACTGCGTTAGCATTCAGCGCGGGGGATCCGACCCAGCGAAGGGTGGGAATTCCGACCTCGCAACTTTCCGCCTGCTGTTGCCTTCGGAGAGCCAGTCTGTTCTGCCGGACGTCGGTGGTTTCGGATGCAGCCACCGCAGCTTTCCTCGATACCTGCCTACGGTCCGCATGCTGTTCGCTCTGCGTTAGCGAAAACGTAGATTGTACACTGAAGTACGACGAGCAGGAAGCTTCTCGGACCTTCGGACATTGTGTGTACCACTTAGATGCGTGTAGTTGCGTTAATTTTATGACGCAAACGCAGTTTCAAAGTGGCCGTGAGCTAGCAGACGACATGACAGCCAGGACGACCAAGCCCGTGTGCACGCTAGCTTCCGAGTGATGTGGGAGATGAATGACGGCGCATGCACCGTGAACCTTGCCTCATATGTCGTCGCACCCGTCGCGTATCCTGCAGGAACGAGCGAAAGTGGAAGAAACGATCGAACGAACGAGTCGAAAGACAACCGCGGGAACCGTGCCGTGGCCTCACGAAGCCAGTCCCCTCCTGAGTCCAAACCACGAGCGTCGAAACGAAAAGCGTCTGCTTGCACCGGGGCAATGAAAGCCGACGCATTTAAATATGAGGCATAGAGCTACATTTTCGACGTCACCGAAGATCAGCATGGAGCACAAGTGCTGCCTCATCGTTCGGCCACAAGCCCCAGCCGAAGATAAGACTTGTGTCCATTCTATGTCTACGCTGGAACACGGAAGGTGACAAGAAATCTAGCAATACGGCCTCCCCTTGCTATCTACAGTCTGTTACAGGCAAAGAGTGCAGCCATATCATGGTGCAGGGCAAGCTCCTCCAGCAAAACCGTCCACCCTCTCCACTTTAACAGAGTGAGCGCAGGAGTGGAGGGGAACCCCTCCTCGCCTCCTCTCCAACATTCACTCTGCTAAAGGAGATGGAGTGAAGGGTTTTGTAGGAGGAACTTCCGCTGAACTCTTTAGAACCTGTAATAAACTCTAGGTTGGTTGTGTCGGCCGACACCTTGACCACTTTCCGTAGTTGCAGATTTCTCTTTTTTTACTTCACTACTCTCGCAGATGGAGAGAATGCTAAGAGAATGTCCCAGTACATTGCAGAAAACCGTGACTGAATGTTCCTGGTCCCAAACATGTTGACATCCAGGTGGGGGTGTTAAGAAATCGTATTAATCTTGCTTAATATCTCCCAAATCGGCCCATGTCGCCAGCCAGTTTGGGTTCGCCATCGCTGTCGCAATGCATCGAGGGAGAGACTAAACATCGAGAGGCCCACTCCCCGGCCGGCCGCCCAGCTGCATCTCCGGCACCGCGCTGCTTCTCCGAAGCTCCCGCCATGACTCCGCCCGTCGCTGAACCATGAACTACCGTGCGTTATTCTACAAAACCAACGAAAAGTCACCTCACCATCGTCATAAAGCTGACCGACGGGGTTTCCCTATCGGAACTCCAGTCTACCCACCTCACCGATGCCGTAACCGCCGCCACCCACCTTACGCCATCGGAAGCGAAAGAGACGTATTTCAAAATCCGTGACGTGCAAAACGTCCTCATCGCCGACACCTACCGACCCTCGGCCCAGGAAAAGCTCCTGCAGACCACGAAACTCACCATTGCAAATCGCGACTACGCCGTTACCAGCTACCCCTCGGCCCCCACCAACTCCTGCAAGGGCGTCATCCACGGCGTCGCGTCTCTCACCGCCCCCGACGAGCTCATCGCCAACATCGAATCCAATGTCCCAGTACTCACCGCTCGCATGATGGGCAAGACCGAAACGGTACTCATCACCTTCGAAGGCACATACGTGCCCTATACTATATACTACCGCCGCCTCCAATTCCGGTGCCACCCACACAAGCCAAAATCTCAACAATGCCAAAACTGCCTCCAACTCGGCCACCGCGCGGAAGTCTGCCCCAAGAAAGGCAAGCTTACAGTATGCGACATCTGTTACCAGGAAAACATGACCTCGGACACCCTTCACAACTGCGTTCCTTACTGCGTCAATTGTAAAGAAGAGCACGCCTCCAAGGACCCGAACTGCCCCGCCAAAAAGCAAGCCGATGCGCAAGCCACTCTCGCTGCCTACAAACGGCGAGTACAGCAGCGTCCCAAGGCAACAACCATCCCCAACACACTGCGCACCCCTCCTCCACCACCAAGACCGAAGGGTGGGAAAGCCTTGACCACTCCCAACCCGCCCCACCAACCAGCACCTCCTTCCGACAAGGTGCCCACTACCAACTCCAGACAGGAGAATTATCGACTACCGCCCATCCCACGAGGCTCAACTCAGCAACATCGCAGGACCCGGAGTCTCAGCCGCAACAACAAGGTGAGAGAGCCACTCCGTTCCACATTACACCCGACACACGCATCCCGACCCAAATCCATACCCCAAGCCATTACTGCATCCGACACGTACAAACAAGCGCTTCTCGCTGCCAAGCGCACACCAACCACCCCAAACACAGTACAAGCGATAAACGTAGCACCAGAAAATCAACACATGGACACTTTACCTCCCCCCTCTCAACCCGTCACTCCCCAGGTCTCCATCGAACTCAAGCAAATCATGCTCGTTCTGAAAAACATTCAGGAGCGCCTGGCCGCTCTCGAGCAGGATGTAGCAGAACTGAAAGCACAGGGCCCTCAGCACCCAAAACGAAAAGCAGACGACCCCTACAACCCTGAAAGCAAAATCCCCCGTCAAAATATCGACACCTCATCAACTGATGACGAAACCAATATCTAAACAATCTATACACATCCTACAATGGAACTGCCGCAGCCTACAACGTAAACGAGCCAGTCTCACCCAATACCTCAACACGCTAGATCGCAAACCTGACGTCATCCTTCTTCAGGACACGCAGGGCACTCACAACCGTCCACAATACACACCCTACACCCAACCCAGCATCACTCAAACCGACCGCAGGCAAAACACATATACCCCCACACTCGTCACGACATACATCTCTAAGGAACACCCGTCAATACAACTCAACACAACAGACATCAACACCGCTCACCAAGAGCACGTCATCATCACCCTTCAACCCCGCAACTGCCCCAATCCCATCACAATCGTCAACGCGTACTGGCGACCGGGCCGCAAGGTCGCAAATCCCACTCCCTGGCTCACGAAACTCGTGGCAAACAACTCAGACCACGACATCCTCTTAGTCGGAGACTTCAACAGCCCCAATGTGTCCTGGGGTTACCCAAACACTCAACACAATGGGCGCCTCCTCGCACAAGCAACCGCCCAAGCGTCGATGACACTGGCCAACGACACTACACAACCCACCCGCACCGGTAACAGTGTAGAGCGCGATACCAATCCCGACCTGGCCTTCCATCACGGCCCATCCGTTGCTGAATGGTCCGCATCTGACGAACAGCTAGGCAGCGATCATCGCCTCATCCACCTCACACTGATCACCAACGTCAAACAGAAAGTACGTCGCAATACTGCTCGCATCACAAACTGGGATCACTTTCGCTACCATACCTCCAACAACCCCCCACCGACGGACGCTGATCCCAGAGCCTGGGCCAACCATCTCCTCCAGGCACAGAACAAATGCACCAAAGAAGCCCAAACCACAACCGCTACCCCATACATTGACAACCATCTTCTCAACCTCTGGAAAACTAGGCGTAAATTGGTGAAAAAATGGAAGAAAACCAAGCACTCCAAACACCTAAAACACAAAATTCACAACATCACCAAAGAAGCCGAAACCTACGCAGAGCAACTCACCACCGAAAACTGGCTCCAACTTTGCGACTCCTTCAACGGCCAACTCGGCACCAAAAAAACGTGGCGCATCCTACGCACACTCCTCACACCCTCTCAACCTCGTGACCCCCTCACACGCATTATACTCGCCAGCAAAATTACCTCGCACGACCTCGAGCAGCAACTCCGCGACACCTTCTTTCCACCACCAACCGACACATCACACACACCAGAACCTCCAACTCCTCCCCTCGACCCATGCGACATGGACGCCCCCTTCCCACTCAACGAACTAAAGCGGGCACTTGACTCTCTCAAACGAAACACATCACCTGGCGAAGATCAAATCACATATCAACTTCTCCGCAATCTCGACGACACACAACTCCAACAACTCCTAAACTACTTCAATAGTGTTTGGCAAACTGGCGACATACCAGCAGAATGGAAACACGCCATCATCACCATGATCCCCAAACCAAACAAAACCTCCGAAGTCAAGAACCTACGACCCATTTCTCTCACCTCGTGCACCGGCAAACTTCTTGAGAAGCTTGTTCTCACACGCCTCGAATGGCATCTCGAGCACGTGAAAGCCCTACCCTTTACACTCATTGGCTACCGCAAGAATATCTCCACACAAGACTGTCTCCTTCGGCTATACAATGACCTCCTCCAAGACAAAAGTACCACACAACTCCGCTCACTCCTAAGCCTGGACATCTACAAAGCCTTTGATAACGTCTCACATGACTCCATACTCAGTACTCTCAGAGAAACGCAGTGCGGCCCTCGAATGTATAACTACATCCGCAACTTTCTATCGAACCGCACGGCCGCCTTTAAAATTCCTGGACACATCTCCACACCTTTTCCGTTACACCAAGGAGTACCACAAGGCTCCATCCTCTCTCCCACCCTTTTCAATCTTGCCATGAGCAAACTTCCCGCACAACTCGACACCATCCCCCACCTCAAATTCTCCATTTACGCCGATGACGTTACCTTATGGACCAACACTGGCTCCCCCGGCCAGCAGGAAGAGACACTGCAACACGCTTGCGACACTGTCGCACGCTATGCCATTAGTATAGGTCTGGCCTGTTCTCCATCCAAATCGGAACTCCTCGTCATCTCCAACCGCAAAAACAATCCCGACAGGCAGCTGATCACCGTACACCTCGACGGCACTCCCATACCCCAACGCCCGCACATCAAGCTCTTAGGCCTCACCATCCAAAACAACGGTGCAAGCGATATCACCGTCTCCACCCTCTCCAAACAAATAAATCAAATCACACACATCCTCGGCCGCGTTTCCCGGCGCCACAGAGGCCTCAAAGAGAGCGACATGAGACGAGCCATCGAAGCTCTCATCTACTCTCTCGTAATCTACCATATCCCCTACACCCCACTCACTGCCCGTCAACTCAAACACCTCCAGACACAGCTCCGCAAACCCACCCGCCTTGCTCTCGGCGTGCCACAGTACGCTCCCCTAGAGCACTTACAACAGATGGACCCCTTCAACACACTCGAGGAGCGAGTCGACTTGCACCGACTGGGTCAACAGCAACGCCTAACCACGTCTCTGCAGGGTCGCTACATTCTCAATTCTCTCGGTTACCACACCCTGCACCTCCCTCCCATCGAAACAACCACACCTCCCTGGGATGCCATACCCCAAATCACCGCACTCCCCATACCCAAACATATGAATCCCGACAGCAACCCGGAACGCCGCAAGCACAGAGCCAAACTCATATCCCTAAAACTCGCCACACTTCAGGCACAGCAGCACCTCATCTACTACACAGACGCCAGCTACGACCGTGGCACCAAACTCGGCCGCACCGCAATTCACTGTCCCCAGACCAACACAACGCTTAGGCAAACATACACCGAAGCGCCTTCGGCAGACCTCCTGGAGACTCAGGCGCTGTGCTCCGCCATTCTCCATGCCATCGCCAACCCCCACGAGGGACACACCTCCATCACTGTCCTGACAGATTCCCAAAAAGCAATTCGCACATTTCAGTACAACCAACTCCCCAACTACATGTCGCGTGAGGTTCGAGCCGCCCTGAACACCACCCCCACCCTTCGCTTCTACATCTACTGGATCCCTGGCCACGCTTTAATCCCAGGAAATGAACGAGCACATTCACTTTCCCGAGTCACTTCCACTCCGGGACCTGCGATTGACTGGCCTACGTCCTATGACCCCCAACTCCAGCGCAATGAATACCATCAACAGCGCTCTGACACACTCCGACAACTCCGCGAATCCAGACTCGCCCTCGTACCACCGCCTTCCACACTCTCTCGACAACAGGCCAGCACTATACGCCGAGCACAGACCCACACGCTATCCTCCCCACACTATACTCATCTCTTCCAAGGCGCTCAGGGCACAGCTAAGTGTCCCTTCTGCACTGGCTACCCAAACAACACGCACACCTACTGGCAATGCCTCCACGCACAACGATCCATCCGCTCTACACTTTCCAAGCTCCCTCCCGGGCTTAGGCCCACGACATGGAAAGAGTGGCTCTCTCCCACAAATCATCAAAACGTGCCCGCCATCTTTGACGCCCTTCTTCACCACATCACAACCATCGAAGAGAAGCTGAGGGCATCGAAAGACGCCACCAATCCCCCATGATCCACCTATCCTCACCCTTCTGAATGGCGTCCTCCTGGACACCACTTTGACACCCTGAACTGAGGGTCAATAAAGATGTTTTCTCTCTCTCTCTCATCGAGGGAACTTTAGTATATCTGCGCGGGCCACAACCTCGCTAGAGCTCTGCGCGTGTGGAGCACGAGACGCCTCGGGAACTGCTGCGTGCCTTGTGTTAGAACACTGTACTTGTGTGAACTAAAGTTATGGCGGCTTCACGCATGCGCCGAACGCTTGGCGAGATCGGTTTATTGTAAAATTAGAGCACTAAACAATGATTACCTATCCAAAGATAAGAATATGATTTTTAATTACAAGTACTCATAAAAAGGAGAAATATATTAGAGGCGAAGGTGTTAAAAACTGTGGGATTCCCCTTTTATGGGGGTACCACTTAGAAACACAGAAGGTTCCTTGGGTCCGGATAAAGACGTGTTTATTTGACTTAGATGCCACACGCTTGCCCGAAGGCCAACAATGTTGGAGATGACGGCGCTGTCTCTTTTGACAGGATCGCCAGTCGGAGTCCGCGCTGCCGCTATTGACAGTATCACGGAGGGGGAGGATCAGATAAGGATATGAAGGCTCCGTCGAGCAGAGCCTCCCCCAGCGAGAGTCGCGCCCAAAAAAATTGGCTTGCTCTTTATGTTTATACAGCCTAGATGGAGATGCGCCTCAACGGGTAATCGGTCTCTTAGCTGTAGATGAGAAATTTAGCCAGTGCGGTACAACCGCTAACCTGGGATTTTTAACGTGCATCACGCAGTAGTGATCACACGAACGCGTGCCGGTACGAAACTCATCCAGATCGAAACGGGCGGGGGCGGCAGGGATCGAACCCAGGAGGTTCCCAGCGCAAGCTTTCGCTCCACGCTCCGAGCTGAGACGCGTTAGCCCACTCGGCCACTTCCTCCCTTAGTCGCGCCCGTTGGATTAGGGCCGTCTTATATAGCCTGCGGGAATGGACGTGCCCGGGGTGGGTCGGATGTAGGTGGCTCCCCGGAGGGGCGGACGCGTCCAAGTCATGATCCCGAGGGGTGTGCCTTAGGCAAATCCAGGACCAACTTGATTTAAGTTGGTCCTGGGCAAATCACCCGAGAAGGACGAGGGAAAGCCGCCCACCAGGGAATACGGCTTCGCCCTCGCATCCGGGACGCGCCCCCACGTGGCGACGTCCCACGGCCTGCCTGAGCTAGGCCTAGATAGGGATGCGGGGAACCCGTGGTTCCCACAAAACTTAAAGCACTTTAATACCACCAAAACACAGAAAACATTTTAAAAAATTAATAGTTTCGTTAAATTTTTGTGGCTCAATTTCGTTCAGCCGGATTTAACCTTCACAATCTTCATGCCCTAAATAAAATTGCTTCC